AAAAAAAAAAAAAAAAAAGAAATAAGATGTTATTTTAGTCATGACTGCTATAACTTCCTTCCTGTCTCCAAAGCAAAAGGAAAGATTTCTGTTCAATGACAAATCAATGATCATGGAATAATGCAAAATTTCAAAGAAAGCAGTATATAAAAGCATATATAAGCCAAATTCTATTTTTTTAAACATCTGTGCATGTGCCACAATATTCTCTCTCAGTGGTGAGATTATGGGTGACTTTTTATTCATCTTTTCTTTATTTTCTAAACTTTCTATAAAACACATATATTAAAAGAAGAAAAAAACAAAAAACCATATATTATGTTCATTAATTTTTTTAAATCAATGTTTCTTTAAATCGCCCAAAATTATATCCAAAAGAAGTTTTCAAACTTGTTTTCTAAGGGGTTCCTGGGTGGCTCAGTTGGTTAGGCATCTGACTTCAGCCTAGGATATGATCTCAGGCTCCTGGGATCGAGCCCCACATCGGGCTCCCTGCTCAACAGAGTCTGCTTCTCCCTCTCCCTCTGCCCCTCCCCATGCTCATGCTCTCTTTCTCGCTCTCAAATAAATAAATCTTTAAAAAACAAACAAAAAAAAACTTGTTTTCTAATCTAGATTATCTGCTGTTATCCTGGTCACAAGCATTTCACTGTTACATAAGAATGAGAATTCTATGTGCAAATTTCTTCTAGTTACTAATCCCAAATAAGCCATTACCATCCAGGGCAGAAGATCTACAGATAATGGATTCTCATTAACAATGCCACCCACAAGGTGCAGAACAGTATGTATATTAGGATAATACTTTTATGTCTTAAAATTTTTAAAGAATATTTCAGTAATATATAGAGGCTTATGTGCCAATATGTCTATACTTCTTTTTTCAGTTTAGAATCATAAGAAAGCATCAGAAATGGTTACCTTTTTTGGTGGGAGAAGAAATGTATATCTTTCTACTGTTTGAATTATGAACCACCATTTTTGTACTTTTTCTTTACTTTTTAACTTTTTGTTTTGTTTTGTTTGCTGCTTACCATGGAGCACTTCTCCAGTACTTCCTCCTGGAACTTCAGGAATCGCTCCTGAACCTCAGCTTCATTGAGGAAAAAGGCAAGGAAGTGAGTGAAGGGTTGCTTTCTTCTAAAAGTGAGCAAAAGAACATCAATCCGAGTTCGAGCTGAAATTACACCACTTCGATGCTGGCCAGTGATTACTGCAAGCAAAAAAAAAAAAGGAGGGGAGGGATGTTTAACACAACCATCCAGTGCTTGTAAGGTAAGTGGCCTTAATACTATCATCTCTGCAGAGCTCGAACAGTCCTGAATGAGTACATAATGTCTGAACAAGGGACAGTACCAAGGGTAAGAAAATTACTAATGAATTCAATCTAAGCAGAATGAGGTTTAAAAACAGAATATCCTTGGGGGCCTGGGTGGCTTAGTCAGTAATCGTCCAACCCTAGATTTACGCTCAGATCTCAGGATTGTAAGATCGAGCCCCGCTTGTCGGGCTCGTGCTGGGCATGGAGCCTGCTTAAGATTCTCTCTTCCTCTCCCTCTGCTGCTCCCCCTGTTTGTGCGTGCGCGCTCTCTCTCCCTCTCTCTCTGTCAAATAAATAAACAAATCAATCAATCTTAAAAAAAAAAAAAAAAAGACCACCTCATGAAGTAGAAAAATGAGTTAAAAAAAGCTATATAGCTTCATAGCAAACCCTCATACCTTGCAGGTGGGAATGTAAAATGGTGCAGCAGCTATGGAAAAGTATGGCTGTTCCTTAAAAAGTTACAAGGAGAACTACCATATGTAAAAAGTTACAACGAGAACTACCATCTGACCAGCAATTCCACTCCTAGATAGAAATCCAAAATAAGTAAAAGCAGGGCACCTGGGTGGCTCAGTCTTTAAGCGTCTGCCTTCGGCTCCGGTCATGATCCCAAGGTCCTGGGATCAAGTCCCACATCGGGCTCCCTGCTCAGCAGGAAGCCTGCTTCTCCCTCTCCCACTCCCCCTGCTTGTGTTCCTGCTCTCGCTATCTCTGTCAAAAAAAAAAAAAAAGAAGTAAAAGCAGGTATTCAAGGGGTGCCTGGTGGCTCAGTCAGTCAGATCACACTCTTGATTTGGGGGTCATGAGTTTGAGCCCCACATTAAGGGTAGAGTTTACTTCAAAGAAAACAAAAGAATAGATTTTAAAAAATAATATAAAGCAGGGCACCTGGGTGGCTCAGTCTTTAAGCGTCTGCCTTCGGCTCCGGTCATGATCCCAAGGTCCTGGGATCAAGTCCCACATCGGGCTCCCTGCTCAGCAGGAAGCCTGCTTCTCCCTCTGCCTGTTGTGCTTTCTCTCCCTCTCTCTGTCAAGTAAACAAATACAATCTTTAAAAATAATAATAATAATATGAAATACAAGAAAAAATCCTGAAAAAATTTTTTTAAAAAACAAAACCCAAGTGTCCAAAAAAAAAACTCGTACACGAAGGTTCAGAGCAGCTCTAGTCGCAATACCAAAAGGTGGAAACGCAGGTGTCCAACAGATAAATGGATAAACAAAACGTCCCATCTCCATACAATGGAATAGTATTCAGCACCCCCCAAAAAGAGAATGAAGTACAGATACATGCAAAAATATCAATGAATCTTGAAAACATCACACTCAGTGGAAGACACCAGATAGAAAATGCCACTATATGCTTCCATTTAAGAAAGTAGCCAGAACAGGCAAATGCAGAGGGACAGAAAGCAGATTAGTGATAGGCAAGGACTGGAGGTACGGAGGAATGGCACTGGGAAGTGACTGCTTAATAGGTATGAGGTATCCTCCCTTTTGGGAAGATAAAAATGTTCTGAAACTAGATAGTGGTGATGATTACACAACACTGTAAATGTACTAAATGCCACTCAATTCAACACTTTAAAATCGTCCAAATGGGAGGTCCAAGGCTGGCTCAGTCAGTAGAGCATGTCACTCTTGATCTGGAGGTCATGAGTTTGAGCCTCACATTAGGTGTAGAGTTCACATAAAGAAAAAATTGTCAAAATGGTAAACTTTATGTTGTGTATATATTAACCACACACAAAAAAAGTATGAACACTACATCACATAGAAATTCAAGCAACAATAAAAAGTTAAGAGCAATAAATGGAACTTTCTGTCATGTCAATTTTACCTCAATTTAAAAGAAGACTGTGGCAGGACGCCTGGGTGGCTCAGTCATTAAGCGTCTGCCTTCAGCTCAGGTCATGATCCCAGGGTCCTGGGATCGAGCCCCGCATCAGGCTCCCTGCTCGGTGGGAGCCCTGCTTCTACCCCTCCCACTCCCCCTGCTTGTGTTCCTGCTCTCTCTATCTCTGTCTGTCAAATAAATAAATAAACTCTTCAAAAAAAAAGACGACGGCTGTGGCAGCATTAGAGATTGACTACAGTGAAAAACTAAAGGCGAGTCTACTACAATATATATAATCCTATAATATATGTATGAAAACAGAAAATTAAAGTAAAATGCTTATCTATACATCATATGGGTGGATACCAAATGTCCATGTTTTGGCATTAATTTGGCCTTCTCTGATCTGGGCTATGCTTTATGTATAAATGAAAGGGGGGACGGCACAAAGCATAGCCCACTGTCTGCAAAGAAACAAAATCATTTAGGGATTACACAATCTCAACGTAAGCAGAGATTAAACCTCTAGGTCGTAGAACTGACAGGGCTTGGTTCAAAACAGCAACTAAGGAAAGGTGCAAAAGATATGAACAACGAACAAAATTGGCATTTCAACAGACCATTTATTAAAACTGTGAAAGACAGACTTATGAATATGATATAAAATATTGAAGTATTAACTGTAATAGTAGCAAAATCGGCTCTGTGCTTTAAAGACCACAAAGTTTGTCCTTCCACGCAACTACAGAGATTAAATAATTCTATTTATTTATCCTAATACTCTCCATTAAAGCACGTGAAATTTTCTATAAGAACAACCTTTCTATTCCTCAATAAGAATGAAAGTATCACACCCATTTTACTACAAGGAAACAAGACAGACATTTCTAGGAAAAGAAGTAGATTCTGAGGGGCACCTGGGTGGCTCAGTTGTTTAGCGTCTGCCTTCAGCTCAGGTCATGGTCCCAGGGTCCTGGGATCGAACCCCGCATCGG